AGACCGAAGAGACTCAGAAAGAATGGCTGATGGAAAGTCATTTGGTTGAAAGGTCGTAGATCGTTGAGGGAACTCGCAGGAGCAACATCTTCCAGACCTTATTCAAGGTCCTGAAGAGAAGACTCGTTAGCACACCGACATGGCTCCGATTCAGTAAATCCTCACCGTGGGCCAAAATCTCAGGGGGCTCGAGAGAAACGATGAAGAAAACGCCATCGGATGGGAGAAAAGCAATCAAACGACGATGGTTGGTGTAAAAATGTTACCACACATTGGGCCATCTCGCATGAAAAACGGTCCGTCCTCCTGTTCCTTCTCGCGATTCGAAACAACGTGTTGTACCACGACGCAATTTCTAGTGAGGAACTCACACGATGTGCAGGTCAATCCTGGACGACTCGGATGGCGATACTCGGAGTAGCGAGAAGCGAAATAGAACACTGCTCGGGAGGAACGAGGGAGATCCCTAAGACCACCGGTGGAGTTGAGGGTAGTGTGGTTAGGGTCCCAGTCCTGAGAGGCTTCCGGCATATCAGAGGCTAGAACCGTGGTTGAAGAAACAACGGGCTAGATTCCAAAATTAGGTTCCGCGAGTACGATATGGCATCGGAACAGAATGCCGAAAGACAAGATGAATCGCTCGTCGATCAACGCCTGTTAGCCGTGAACAGCATCCAGTCAAGTGGGGACATGCGCCCCAAGCCTACAAACATCACTTGATCATCCAAAGCATCCTTCACCAAATACGGCGTCTTCGATTCACCACTCACTCCGGAGAAGAATGGACTGGGATAGTCACCATGACCAGACCATTTATTCGTTCGTTTCTCATAGCCACGAATAATGTTGGTCTGGTATTCCTCCCCCAGAGAGTTCCACTCCTGCACCGTAATCTTTCGGCTCGCAAATGGGCCGATGGAGCTCAAGAGGGAATCAAGCGTAATGCCACCGGTCCGTCTCACCTCACAGACGAGGTTAGGGACGGCATTTAACCACACCCGCATAAAGGACATCGGGGGATGAGTGACGAAATTGTCCTTCTCTTCCGGAAATAGCGGGAGAATTGCTGAAGATGCCACGGATCGGAAGTCGTACGTAGTCGAGATTTCCCAATCGATGTGAGGTGTCATCGTTCCGCGATATTCGAGTGCGGGATGGATGATTGGCTGATTAACATCCCCAGTTATTGAGAAACACTTGAAATTACTCAAACGCTCATGTACGTGAAATATGACCATGACTAACGAGATTCTGCCTGAGCCAATCGGTATGCTGCGAACGTAGGGTCCTGTCTTCCTCCTGCCGGATGAGTCGCGAAGAATGGAGATGGCCCTCCGACTCCGGGGGGATACTGAAGGACTTGTGCGGGGTTACGAGGAATAACCGGATAGGTATGAGCATATTGGCTGTCTGGAGGAGATGGGTATGTGAACATAGGGTTGTGTGGCGGGAGAGGATAGTCAGGCGCAAGGGAAGACCATGTGACAGGCTTGCGACTCCAGTATGGATCTTGGACCCAACCTGGTGGCGGAGAATAGTGAGGCCATTGGGTGTATCGATGGTGCGTTAATGCCGTTTGCGAATATTGATACGAAGGGTGGTGTGGCGGGTAGGAAGAGCTCATTTGAGGTTGGTCTGAGAGGTCGAGTGAGCATGTACATATTTCTAGCAAAGGGGGGCTTACAAGAGAGCTTCGATTTAAAGCTAGGGTTGTTGTAGGTCTGATGCCGTCACAGTAGATGTACTTAAGCATGCCAACTTGCGCTGCAAGCAACAAGGGAACAAGCAACGCCACCCGGACCCACAACGCCACATCAAACACAGAACATGAGTTAGCTTGGTGACGGCACAGGTTCTGCGTTCAGCGTCCACAGCCTCAAGCGCTGGCGGTGACTCAATCAAGAGTCATCGCAAACGATACACCACACCCTTCCAGTTTCCCGCTTATTCCATCAACGGAAAGAATCAGTGACAAAGTGATTACGAAGACTGGCAGACAGGGGGTGGAGGGTCGAAAGTGGAGATGAGGAGCGCACCTAGCAAAGTCAATAGGATATGAACACTGGCGGATGAGGCATGGGGAATAATATACAGTGGATTACTTCAAGATCGCGACATGGAACAGACTCTCCAAATCAACGTCAACGTCCCTAGAAGTTCAACTGAAGCTCAACCTGAGGAGCAGTTGTGAGTCATAGAGCTCCACGTTAAAGGAACGTGAACTTCATACCTTGGCTATCTCGTTGCCCACCTTATCCGCGAGGTCCATCACCATTTTCTTCACTTCATCAGGAGCCCGAGGGCGACACGTCTCACATTCCATTGCCTTCCTTAAAGCCTCCGGCGATGTCGCACGTTCCTTCCAGGCTGCGCTCAACGGACGCTCCTGAAGCTCTTTTCGAATGTCGTGTAGCATGCTCCACCACCACTGCCTTGGAGTACGCGATGACGTGCGTCTCCGTTCGTCATATTTAGAAGGGCCTCGTTTAAGAAGAGAAGTCGACGGTTGACAAGTAGATGTGGTGCACGAAAGTGCGACACTATCCCAAATGGTGCCGCACTCGATCGTAGTCCCATCTTCGGGCACGAGAGACACGACTCGGTTACCACAAGTCTTGTGATACTCCATAAGGCGGTGGATATCGCCCCCTGATATATCTTCGAATGCGGGGGTATAGTCTCCAGGCATAGGCTTGCGTAAGGTGTACTTCGCTGCTGTCCTTGCCACATCCTTGAATTTGAAGCGGCAAGCAAGAGCGTAGACCTCTTCAGGGTGGTTTTCCACATATTTCGTTTCCGTGAACGTCTTGCGAACCGAATCCACAATCCTCTCCATCCCGTACTTCTCGGCGGCCTGGAGTACTTCTGCGAGCTCTTTCACCGTGCTGAAGACTGGTACTTCCCAAGGGAAGCAAGGCCTCAACAACATCTCCAAAACATGGCTGACTTCCGAAACGTCGACGACGGGGAGTCCATCACCCGAATTGGCGAATGGCTTCGAGTCACTGTTCGTCTGGGGCAAGTCGAACATGTCGCTAAAAACGGAAGACGACAGCGACAACAGTAGTTTCGGCATAGGAAAATCGACTCCATCGGAGGATCGGAGGATCACATCGGCTTTTGGACTGTTGAAAGGATATGTAGACCGGGGGGTTGGCTTTGGGGCAGCGTTGTCGCTCGACATGGCTGAAGGCTAATACGATAGGAAAATGTGGAAAGCAAGATTATGGCTGGACGACTTCAGTCCATCGATGCACTGGAGGTTTACGAGGCAAAGTTTAACGGTGTCCATCGATGATGGGCGCCTGAGGAGTCAGGACGTCCGACGGGTCCGAGCGCTTTCGCAATGGTCAAGAGGTGACCGTACGCAAGCGAGTAATTCTCACTCGACTCTCACTCAAATTCGGCACATACATACTGCTTACTTACATCCCCACCTTGTCCACCGCCTTTCACGATGAACCATACACCCTGGACCAAGAAAGATTCTTCATTCCCATCAGATCGAATCCGGCCGACATATCGGTCTTCTACTCCTCCTAGTAAGCAATCCAAGGGCAAAGGCTCTGCTAAGGAGAAAGAGCCACCAAAGAGCAAAGCGGTTCGGAGGTTAGAAGGCCTGGTGAATGGGTTGAAAACATCAGCCGGAAAACAGAAAGATCCCAAGGGAGGATGTTTTTGTCAAGGTCAGTCAGGCTGTTCCTTCCAGCGACGGACGAGTTCACTGATCGTCATTCTTTCGAACAAACGCCGAGCAGCCAGAAGTCACGATCTCTCGACGTTCACCCCCATCTGTCGAGCATGCGGCTTGATTCTGTGCACCGTTAATCTGCCATACTACGCCTGTCCCCACTGCACCTCGCCACTCCTCACACCATCCGCCATCTCTTCACTCGCCACCCACCTTGAGGATGAGATTGGCGAAACTATCGCCAAGGAGATTGAGGCCCGAGAGAAGGCCATCGAGGAAGCTCGTCGAGCAGCAGGCGCATTCCCATCTCTATCAGGTTCATCCTCCCCGGCATCCTCGCTGCTTGCTTTACCACAATCCGACTCCAGTGTACGCTCGGCAAACCAGACGCACAAGGTGTTATCCCTTAATCAGAAGACGAAGAGAGTCACAGTCTCATCGTATACTTCAACACCGGCACATTCACGACCACAGTCGGTGAAGGAGGAAGAGGATGAAGAACCGTCCCGGATGCCAGCACCACCATCAGAAGTAGAGTATGTCAGGGGGAAAGCGGACCCTAGTCGGCCATGGGCTGATTTGAGAGGCGACGTAGTTGGGCCTGTTTATGTTGCGGTTCCCGTCATGGAAACGAATGAGGGGGGCTCGAAAGTGAGGCATCGGTCAAAGAAGAAGAAGGCGCCAGAACCTAATTGACCCATCGACGAGTCTCCTGCTCTCACTGGCCTTGTGAACGAAAAATCACCTCAAGAATCTAGTTGAATCGTTCTGGTGTTTCAAAAGCAGCGATAATTGCTCATTATCTCTGGTGAGTCCCCTTCACTCTCTGATGCTACAGTGGAATCTGACCTGCCACATCAGTTGCCTTCTTCCCGACGTCCCACACCTCTCTTTGTCATGTGTAATTGGAACGACGTTGTCGTACCAGTCGTCCTACTTTGCAATGCATTTGCTTTGGGTCTGATCAGGCCAAACACGAACCGGTACATACAGTACTTCTCGATCGCCCCGGATTCATCAGTTTCGAAGGGATCCCTGGTCGTCAATGGCACGTGGCGGGAGGCTCAGAGAGTCCATCCTCGCGCTTGCGCAACTTTTCACTCAGGACCAATGCCTCCAACTCAGAGCTCGTCGAAGCATAAAGGCGGTGATGGGACTCTACGATACCCGCAGAACTTCCATTGCTGGATACTCCTTTGGTTGCTTTCGTACGATCTTCCCTCGGACATGCTTTGCGGGTGGGTGAAATTTGGGTCGAGGAATAGGTAGAATGCAAAAAAAGCGCTATTTCAGCTCTAGCTTCATCTCAGGGCTCAACCGGGAATTGAACCCGGGACCTCTCGCAATTCAGGATTGTAGCCCGAAGCGAGAATCATACTACTAGACCATTGAGCCGTGCTGCAGTATCCCTTCTATGCATACAAGATACTTTGATAGGCGCCCGTCGATTTCCAGCTTTCCTTCCACACCCGACTGTCACTCTTGACCTTTCCCAATGTCTGCGCGAAGACCGGGCCCCCTCCTCGCCCTCGCCCGCCTCAAAAGTGCTCCCATTCCCCGACTCTCGTCACGTTCACTCTCTACGGGAACTCATCCCCCATCTTCCTCAAATCCCGTCCGAACTGGCCTATACGCGACAGTATTCCTCGTCTCGACGGGTCTCTTTGCAGTCTACTATTTAGACGCACGTTCAGCAATACACCGATATGTGATTACGCCTGTGATGAGATACTCCCTCGACGCGGAGACGAGCCATAAGCTCGCTGTGCAAATCCTGAGGAGTGGGCTTGGACCGAGGGACCCGAAGTCGGACGACGAGAAGCTGAAGGTTGAGGTGAGTAACTGTCTCTCTGTTTACAGCGCTGGAAATGAAGCTAACATCGTTACCGTAGCTCTGGGGGCACGAGCTTTCGAACCCGGTCGGTCTTGCTGCGGGATTTGACAAGGACGGCGAAGCCATTGATGGTGAGGTCCATCATCATTGCTCAGAACTCGAAAGCATCTAACCCATCCTGCAGGCCTCTTCAATCTTGGTTTTAGCTGGGTAGAGATCGGAAGCGTCACGCCCAAACCACAGGTACGCGTCCCACCTGTTTCATTTCGCTCTCCCTCAAATTGAGTACGAATCGTCAGCCAGGAAACCCCAAACCACGCGTCTTCCACCTCACCAGCGACTCCGCCATGATCAACCGCTACGGCTTCCCCTCCCAAGGCCATGCTTCCGTCCTCGCCCGACTACTCGCCCGTTTACCTTCCTCTTCCTCACCAGTGACGGACAGGCCAGCTTCGCTGCGAGAGGGTTCGTTGTTGGCGGTGAATTTGGGAAAGAACAAGACCTCGGCGATGGAGTCGATTGATGATTATGTTAGTGGGGTGAGAACCTTTGGCAAGTACGCGGATGTGTTGGTTGTGAATGTCTCTAGTCCAAACACACCCGGTCTACGGTGAGTATTATAATCCACGATGAGTAAACTTGAATGACGTCGTGTCCTCTTTCAAGTGGTCTCCAAACCCGGAAATTACTCGACGATCTATTAACGGGCGTCATCAAAGAGCGAGATGCCATCTCGACACCGACGCACAAACCGAAGCTTGTTCTCAAGATTGCACCCGACCTCACGGAATCTGAACTAGTGGACATTGCACATTCGGTGAAGAGCAATGGTGTTGATGGTGTAATAATCAGCAACACGACCATTCAGCGACCACCATCCCTCTCAGACCGTATGTATTCAACCTTCCACTTTTTATTCCACTGATCACCGTTCTTTGCTTTTCTTGAACAGTCAACAAAGTTCAGATTGGTGGTCTCTCAGGCACCCCACTGAAACCTCTAACCCTCAAAGCGCTCCGTACTCTCCGTGCTCACCTCCCTCCAACAATACCTCTCATAGGCTGCGGCGGCATCTCCACCGGCGCCGACGCTCTCGAATACGCAAAAGCAGGCGCATCCTTCGTCCAGATGTATACCAGTTTCGGGTATGACGGCGTTGGTGCCTGTCGGCGAGTGAAGGATCAGCTAGTCGAGGAGTTGAAGAAGGAAGGTGAGGGTGTTGGGTGGACGGACGTCGTCAAGAGGTCTGTGACTGAGTTGAGTGAGAGGGGTCCAGTCACGGTCAAGCAGTTGATTGAAGAGGGGGAGGAATTGAAGAAAGTGTTGGGCCGTTTTGATGACAAGATGACCAAGGATGCGGGGAAGGTCGGCGCTGTTCTCACTAGCCATGCCGCCGTTACCCTGGAGAAGCAGGTTCAAGGACGGGTGGTTGGGTTGGTGGAGAAGACCACGGGGCTGGTTGAGAAGGGGAAGGAGCAGAGTGAGGCGACGGTTAAGCAGTTGATTTTGGAGGGTGAGGAGCTGAAGAAACTGTTGGACCTACTCGATGAGAAGATGACGGAGGACGCAGGCAACCAAGGTCTGGTGGGTGGATTGGTGGAGAAGACCAAGGGATTGGTTGAGAAGGCGAAGGAGGAGGGTGAGGTGACTGTGAGACAGTTGATTGAAGAGGGTGAGGACCTGAAGAGGAAGTTGGATCTGCTTGCTGAGAAGCTGGCGAAGGAGGCGGATACGATTGGCAAAATCCACAGCGATACTACAGCTATTCCGCCCACAGCAAGCTAAAAATGTTGTACATGCTTTGATTTGGAGGAATACAGTGAAAACCGAACATCTATAATACAATCCAAAATGATGACTAATAAAGTCACGTCACAAACGTGTCACAGACAAACCACTTGCCTCCTGGGGCCTCCCTCAGACCTCCGTTCGGCCATGTCTCGATCACGGATGTCTCAGGAGATCAACATCTATCCCTCTGAGCAACTCCCACGATTAGAAGTGGATGTAGAGTGTCGCAGGTCGCGGAACAAGGACAAAAAGACAAACCACGTGGCCAATGTGGCGCGTAACGCTTCCACGCGATTTGCCTGTGGCTCCATGGCCAACAGTTTGTCAATGTCGAACAGTTTGGATTTCCAAGTCAGACTGGAATTATGCAACTCCCTCAATGAAATTTTGACCAGCCCTCACGCTCTGAATCGTTCTTGGAAAGGGCAACCATTTCCAATAACTCTCTCTGGCAGTGCACAGGCGACCTGCTGTCAGCCGGGTACTCAGCTTGCGAGGTGTGAATGCATATGGCACTCTCAATCTTGGACAACTGAGCAGCTGAAGGGAACATTAGTGCTGGAGGCGTCACTCCCCAGTATATCAAACTTCAAATTCATCCCGAAAATCAGTTGACCATCCAGTGCAACATACGGGTGGGCTGCCGGGGCAACCAACAGTTTACAGCAACGAATATATAACTGATAGCTGAAGCCTCAAAGGTGGCGGCGGCGCCGTAGGTGCCACCGCTAAGACTCAGTATTCATCACAGGCTTTTTCTTAAGCCATTGTCTTCAGCTAGGTACCCTTCCGGGACGGAGTCACGGGTGGCGGCTAGTTTAGCATATGGCGAGTGCTACATAAATCATAAACCAGTTCCCCCATGCAACATACGCTCTCAACCTTGCAACCCGCCATCCAGTCTGAACCACGTCGGTATCAACCGCCATATCCTCTCCCTCTCCCTGTCGGCCCACGCCTCCAGCGACCTCGCACAGGCCTTACAATCCGAACCCAACTCGGCACTCTTTAATTGTCCCAGCTCTTCCGCTACGTACAATGGGTCCGAATGTCCTCGCTCCTTGTCCATGAGGTAGTGCTGGGTAGCAAGGTCGACTAGCTCGGTAAAGTCTTTGCGACAAGCAGCTGCCGATACGCATGACAGTCGACTTCCAGAGCGGCTACCAGAGCCGGTACGCTGATGCCCCACCCCCTTAGCCATTACTCTACTCGACGACACTCTCCTCGAAGAAGACGATACTCGACTCGAGGAGGGGTGGTAGTAGTCTCGATGAGGTGAATTACCCATTGATTGGATTAAGTCGGTAATAACTTGATGAGATTCTTCTTTTCCGAGCGATAGTTGACGCATATCGTGGGGAGAGAGGCTGGAATTCAGTGAATGTGATGGGTGAAGGAGTTCATCTTCGCATGGTTCGTATATTTGAGCATAGGTATAACGGGAGAGGTCATAGAAGGCGGAGGGAAGGAGAGAGGGTGCGTTGACATCTCTAGCCAGGTTGATCACAGCCTACGACAATGATAGCCCGTTAAGATAGGGATATAAAAGGGACGAAATCACTTACGATAGGTGAGGGGTAGAGGTGGTCGTTTCGTGATTGGCTCTCCATCTCGTATATCCGCGATAGATCTTCGCGGGCCTCCCAACCCCGCAAAGTCAATGGCCACGCAATCGATAGGTGCGCAATGGCCTTTGCACGTAATGTATCAATAATATATTTGGTAGATAGTCGAAGAATGCCCGACACTATCCGAAAATCATCTTGATCATTGTTCCCAAAGGTACTGCAGCGGTTCAGAACGACCGATTAGAGAGGGATGTTGAAACTCACGGTCCGTCATATAAGGCCTTGAGCAAATTGGCCAGGTCGTCTGCAGGGTCGTGCAAGTCAAGAACAGGGCACCCTTCGAATGTATCGCCATCGCTACCAGTCTGAGCTTGAGAAGACGCGTTCGAACCTCCTTGTCGTACAGGCTGCGGCAGAGAGAACATGTCCCTGAAGAATGCCGAGTGACGAGACAACTGCGACATGTGAACCCGAAAGATGGAATCCTCGGCATGGAGAATGATAGATCCGTCCGTGAACCAGAGATCGGGGTGCCGTCTAAGAACATCTGCAAGGCGCTCTCAGTCAGCAGGGCCACAGGAAAGACGACAAGGACTGACCGAGACTCTGAGACACACCAAGATTCTGTGAAGCCCCTGAGGCCGTTGCCTGCATGATTAAATATTAGAGCAACGAGCAAATTATAAGGATCTGTGCGAGCGAGTCTATGTGGTTCGTGAGAGGAGTCGTAAAGGCCTGAGGACAATTGATGGCATCTGGATGCTTGTCGACAGTGAGGGTGGGTGCCCATTGCAACCGTGAGTCGGGATCTCATCAACAAGGACCGGCATTTTAACCGGTATTTCATTGCACGAAATGGCATCATTGGGATCAATGGATTGATTATACCACCGCAGTCTCAGAATACGAGAGGGTATCGGAAGGGCTCATGCATCATGGTGGAATACATGTTGGTTCCATTGAATGCGACCGCTCATCCAATCCTGGCTATGCTTCTCGCGGGTGGCGCTAGGCGGCCCAAATCAGAACACCCTCCCTCGGTCACCGCCCGATGCTCTTTCCGCTGATTGTAAAAATCTGGAAAAATCATATGGACATGGCTAAGCGTACTGAGAACAATCATAGACCATTATAAGGATTCCTAGTCAAGTCCCAAGGCACCAAATTTATGAAATGCTCGCGTCAGGGGGGGGGAAAACAAACTTTTCGAGTCATTTCTGATCCAAAAGGCCTCCGAAATAGCTCCAAAAGTCTAGGAAAACATGAAGAAAGTGGGATTCGAACCCACGCTCCCGAAGGGAGCGGATTACGTAATCCTTAGTCTGGCGCCTTGGACCGCTCGGCCATCTCTCCCTTTTTGCATTGTGATTCACAGAATTAGTGAGGGGCGGTCCTATGGACCCGAGTCCCAGGAAGAACAAGGAAGCAGGTGCGAGGGTCGCCGAGGAAGAAAGACGCGGGAGGGGGGGGAACAGACATGCGAGGTCACAGGAAAAAACCGAAGGACACGAGGCTGGAAAGGCACTCCACTGAGATTGTAATGTTCAGTCCGAGTAGGGAGACCCTTAGTAGCACGAGCGCGAGTTGGAGTCCGTGAGTGCACCGAGTCATGCAAAGCGGGGGTGGGAATGACGAGGGAACGGGCATGGGGGCAAGGGGCAGAATAAAGTGACAGTGCGTTGTCCGAGTGTCGAAGTGAAAAAGGAGCCAAGAAAAGGTAGGGAAGTGGTGGGGAGTCGAGAAAAGAGCGAGCAACCGGAAAGTGGATCAGAAGGGAACGCCAAGGGCGACCCGCAGAGTGTTCTTGATATTTTGGCCAGGAAACTCGAGGGTGTTTTTTTTTGGGAGGGGAGAGCAGATGAGAGGGGCCATTTTCCATCCATTGTGGCAGCAAAGTGGATGCTGAAAGTCTGTTCGACGATTGGGCAAGATCAGAGAGTAAGTCGTCCATGGTAGAGAGATGAAGGACTTGTCTACCAAAATGAGGTGGGTATGAAAGCATTGTGCAGATGATCCAGACATTGTCACAAAAGCAAAGCAGACCTCGAACTTCTTGAGAGTGAGTGTGCACTCCTCAGACACTGAGACAACTCACCGAGAGTTACACATATTCGCTGTCAAAGGATATTCGAATTCAGACGGACGGTCAGAATTGCGATCGAGGATCACAGGGAAAAAACTGCAAACCTGTCTTAAACACCACGAAGTAGCCATGTCTCTACCGCCATCTTCGAAGATGGGAGAGAACCGTGCACATGATCCCAAACATCTCCTCTCGATGCTTCACATTCATCCCCAACTCGCATCACTCATCCGTGGACATCTCGACTTGTTACTCCACCAGAGGCAACGTGAACGACAAGAAGCAGAGGTAGCATTCATGGAGGGAAGAGATGTGATGATAGGAGAGGAGAACATCATCGAGTATGCCATAAAAGCAGCCACAGCACAAGAACATCTGAACGAGTCGCGGCATGAATTCAGTGAGTGATCTGGTATCCTCGACGGCTGACTGATGGGCGAACATATGCTTTCTCAGTGAGACAATTGGAAGAACAGAAGAAGGCTTTAAGCAAATGTGATACCGAGGCATGTCAGAGGAGGAAAGCGGCGAGAAAGTCTTGCTGAACAGCTCAAAGACGGCAAGAGGAGTGCCATGACGATACAGCAAGCTCAGTATGCCTCTGGGTCGATCCCCACCGTCGTTGAATGTACGGCCAGTACCCTGGTGCAAGCGACCAAGCTATCGAATATATTATACCAAGCATACAGGCAAGCCCATAGAAAGACGTAGCAGCATCGAGCCTCGTCGAGCACGGAAAGCGCAAAGGAGCCCATTCGATTTGCTTTTGCGTAGATATTCCTGGTCAGTGGCACTGAGTCGAGGGTTGTAGCACCAAGTCCGAGACATTGCGAGATGAGAACCAGATGTTTCCGTAGCACGCCTGTGTCGTGGGCGAGTGACTGTTGGTGAAGCCCTAGCAAGTTGAACTGATGAGAATAAGATGTCATCCAGTAACAGTGTCAGACGCAGCCCAAAGCCGTCAGTGACTCCAAAAGTTGTCGACGGACTGAACAGATAAATATTTACATAATGGAACCAGTTCCAATGTGCACCGTCCATGTTGGGAGGTCGGAGCTAGGTCCGTGTCGGCAAAGAAGTGGGTCAAGCCTGCTGCATCTTGAGACTCTCCAACCCACATAAACATTGAACAAAATGCTGCTGCAGTTCCTCCTGCCTCCCAACCTCATTTGTGTCATCTACGTACAGTGGCTACAGTCGCCGAAAGATCGGTTCTAACTTCTCTGTCGATGCTCAAGTTTTCTTCTCAGATTCGAGACTGGCAATTGGTGTCGTTCTTATCTCGCAGCTTTTCGTATGAGGCGCCCAGCACGAGTGCAATGTTGGCCAAAACTACCCTGCCAGGTTCTTTTATTTCGTGATTGACTCCCTCAATCGACCAGGCCTCACTACTTTGCAGAACGAGTACGAAAGCCATCCAACCGGAACCAGATTCTCGTGAGGTTCTTTCTTGGATCATTTTCGATGATCTAATAGCCAGCAGCTCACAGCGGTCGCATCTTCGGCTGTATTTGCGCTCGCAGCGAGAAAACAAACGCGTATACAGAATGGTGAGCCGTAAAGTTGGTCGCTGGACATTCTATCCGGAGTGAGATGCCCACCAGTGCTGAGATGTTTGACTTGAAGGGCGAGGAAGTGTCACGTGAGTGGCGGGCTTTTCGCCGATGCAACGACCTGACGATCCTTCATATCACAGCAACTTGACTTGCTAGTCGAAGGATTGGCCACCTTAGTCGCTGACCCGAGAAAGTGAAGCGTGCATTCTGACGGCAGCCGATATCGTCCACACCGCATATCTCCACCGGCGACCCAGGCAGACTGTGGACGATTGTGTGCGCGGTCAACTTTACGTTCTATTTTGCATGGCATATATCCCGCCTGGGTGGACTTACAACGATGCCGACCAGTTTGGTGAGGTAGGTAACGCATTTGGATCATCAGACTTCCATACTGAGGGCACCTCACAACCGTGGTTCACCTGCCTCGACTCTAGGCGTGGAAGCTGGATATATGTTGGGGATTGCGAGGCAACAAAGTGAATTCAGGGTCTATAGAGAAGTTACACCGTCTGGCATCCCTGAAGTTTTTCGCTTCTGGTATCGTCATTCTTGTTCAACGAATCTAAATGTCAAGTTCTGACACAAGATTTCCTCTACTAGTTGGCCTCATCTTGCGATTGCACTCGCATACAGTCGCTTCGCGAGTCTGTTTCTCTCATTTGTATATTGAGGCTTTACAAACAAGTTCTTGCCCTGATGCAGACCTCTCGATTTTCTACCCCACATCTGGGAGGCGCGGTGTATAAGAGCTTCCTTGCACTACTGCCGGTCTTGGTGGGATTTCTGGAGAGGTTCGGTGACACATTCAAAAATTATTTAGTCCTTGACTCCGATCTGCGCTCACCCTTTTCCCCCTTGTGCTCCCTAACTTTCGCTCTGTATTCGCATTAGTTTGGAACTCCTTGGGACGTTTTGGCCTGTCGCGCACGTCGTGGCTTACATTATCGAGAGAAAAGCATTTCCAAGTTCGTCGTCAAATTTCCGAGTCAGTTTTTCAACCTGACGTCAAGGCCCGTTCCAGAGGCGTCGATATTCAACTCACTGGCGCGGCCCTGCGTGATGGTGTGCTCCACCGTCCACAATTTCGCCCCCGCACTTCAACCTGTTCATCCAATAATGAGTAGTATTTCGTTATAGCTTTTGAATTCAGATTTGACTGATGTGTATGCGTTTCTACAGAGGACCAGCCCTCTCTGCCGTGATGATGGGAATGATTGCGAGACTCCAAAGCGACGTTGCCGTCCGTCCCTCGCATAGGGATCACTTTGATGCGTTGGCATCACCCTCCGAGGCTATTCAGATAACAAATTTCATCTGCCGTCTACACATGAGAAGCAGGCGTGAAACCTCACTTTCGCTGCATGTGGTCGACCCTGTTCGTGTCCTTGCATCTAGCTCTCCCTCACTAACTACACTTCGTTCTGGAGCTAGCGATACTTCTGAAGCTCTCATTCATGAAATTCTCGGGGATGACATTATCTGTCTCCCACCAGTCTTCTTTCCGGGAATCAGAGCGTGTTCGAGATTCATACTTTCAGTCTTTGTCAGCAGCTACAAGAAGGCGCGGGGGTGCCCAAAGCTTCCGAGATTCATGCGGAATGCTGAAACGACCTGGAGCAACCCATGACGGGCCGGGCAACTCCCTTCTCCGAGCAAAGCAGCGATACTGGTATGTGATGATTCACACTGCAAACAATTTCAATCATCTAACCCTTCGGGTCGCTGTATTTGCGCATACCTGACTTGTATAGTTGTGCCTGAATTTACCCTCGATATCTCCAAGTTCACTGCATTGAATCCGGATGACGGCGTAAACGAAGGTTCTGTTTCCTGCGCCGTGCCTGACAATCTAGGGTTGCTTCTGACTCCTTTCCCCAGGGTCCAAGCACCTCACGAAGGTCTCACAGGTTGAATTCTGAAAGCCTGGTTATCCCACTGGTGATGGAGTTTCGTACAAGCACTGCCACCGAGATGGACCCTTCACTCCCCTTTGGCAATGTTCTTGAACCGATCGTAGTAGGTAAATGGACACATTCCCAGCAATGGTGGTACAGTTATTGTGAGTGTTACAGTCGTACGTTAAGAAGTTTGTCTGACACGATGAGTGAGACAGGATCGGCAGGGCGGTGAAGTCTAGGTACGACACGGCAAGTCAGATCTCGCATAGAAACAGCAAGGACTCCTCACGTACGTATTCTCAACCCGACCTCGCATTGTCCCCTACTGGGCGATCCACTGCCATTGCAATAGGAACATCACCGCAATTCCTTTCCTCGCAGGTTCGAACGTTGGTGTTGTTATACTCCACGTTGCATCCTCGGGTAGTGTGTCGTCCGAGGAAATGTGGCTTCGACGGATACATCCCCACATGAGCCCATCCTCCGCAGCAAGGCCAATGATGCACGTCTATATTCTTGTTCGTCTTCACGAGTACCGGTCTGACGTGCGCGATGGTGCAAGCGGTAGAGCTGTTATTGCGTTCGATGTATCGAGTGTGGCATCGAACGCAGTGACGCGGGGTATCGTCGTGAGCTGCAGCGCGAGCGGCCGAGGTAACGATGCCAGCTGTTTGAAGCGACGAGAGGAGGACTTCGAGATCGCTCGGGAGCATCATGGTGCTCTTCACCGCCTTGGACAGACGTTCATGCAACTCTTCGGGGGAGGTGTTGTTAAGAAGATAGTTAAGGATGGTCGCTGACTCGGATTCGACT